ATAATGCGTCTATGTTTTGTAACTAATAAGTAGAAAAGTAATGATGCCTCTTATTCACTTATTCTCATCATCTTCTTATTTGTTCATTTATTTTTCAGGTCATAGGTTAATGGAAAATGTAATTGCTATAAGAAGGAAAAGGATACTATGTTGGGGTTCAATGAGCTTAGCCATGACATGCTTCTGGAGAATAAAGTGGGCTCAAACAATCCATATGCTTCAAATTTTTCTTTTATGAAAATTTCATGTTGCAATCATGTATTCAGATACACTTTATGTGATTTCTTATATGTTCAATCAATGTATGTCTAGATGTTGATACACTTGAGATAATCACCCTTTTAATGATTCAATGGTAAAATCTTAATCTAATAATCTTTGATATGATGTTTATACATGCTCGTTTGTGATTTTCTTCTTTTTTTTTTTTTTTGCCACATCATTACAGCTTAAATCACAACTTTAGTTTTAGACCTTTTAATCACTACTCTTTATTCATGCTGTTTATTTTTTAAAAAAATTATGTATAAATTATTTATGTAAATATCAAATTGATGTGATAATCGTATAATCGTATATATAATTTTATCATTTTAAAAAAAATAATGGATGAGAAACATAATTTCAAAATTACATAATTTATTTTTAAATATTAAAATAATAAAATTTGGTAGCTAAGATTGTTTGTCAATACGATATTTTATATGAATAATTTATATATAGAGATCTAAAAGATGACTGGGTGAATTATAGAATGTGAATTGAAGAGAAATCAATCAAAATAATAATAATAATAATTATAAAAGGTTGTTTAGTAATTTCAGTTTAAAAGCACGCTTTCTTTTGAAACCAATTTTTTTTTAAAAGCGTGGTTTCCAACCAAACTTTTTTCTGAAAGCGCGATTCTGAAACACGCTTTCACAAAAGATGAAAGCGCTAATAGAAATAACGTTTTCTTAATTAAAAGCGTGTTTTTTAACCACGCTTTTATGATGAAGAAGATTCAAGAACAGATGTTTGTTTATTCAATAACAATCACAATCCATTCACATCTATCAAGATCACATATAGTATTTATAAACTGATACACTCTACCTAACTATAGTTACAATTGACAATGGTTCTAACAACTTTACAACTGCTATAGTTAATACTAACTAGTCTAACTAACTTTAACTAATCTAACCAACTTCAGATGAGTTGGTTTGGTCATGCTGGTGCAACTGCTTGGGCAACATCGGAGTCTGCTTACCATTCTGCAATTGAGGTTGCTTATCATTCCCCGTCAAGCTAACAGGTGGGCCAGAAACATGTTGAAAGCGTGCTTCAGCTTATTTTGGAAATTTTAGCCAAACTAAGTTTAGTTTGGAAAATAGGTTAGTAGGTTGACTTATTTTGAGAAAAGGCCCGTCATTCTCTCAACAAAATATATATATATATATATATATATATGTATTTTTCATTTTTTTAGCGTTAAACAAAACGTCCTCGTTGCAATGGTGCAAAACTATGTCAAACTGAATGTAGAGGCATTGTTGGTCAATTGTGATAGAGACCCATATATACATAACTCCTGCAATTTTTTTTTTTATCACAACCACTTATAATATGAGACTTACATATATATGAATGGATCTCACACACACATCAAGAGTCACTACGCCAAAATTGGGCTTTAGCGGCGGTTTTTTACCGCCGTTAAAAGCTGTAAAACTTTCATTAAAACCTTTAACGGCGGTATTAACGGCGGTTTCGTTACCGCTGTTTATGCGCGTGTCGGAAAAAGTACAACCGTCGTAAAAAGATAAATTATCGTCGTTAAAAGTTGACCAAAAACGGTGATTTTTTACCGCCTTAAATAGGTTCAGATTTTTTCAAAAAATAATTCTTTCTTCTTGCACTCCCTAAGTTTTGAACCCAAGACCTCTCATCTACTCACACCAACCACTCTGCCATAGCCACTCTTCATGAAATATATTCCCTAAATAAATATTTAAACATTACTTTTACTTTATTGTAGATGGTTTCGCCAGAGCTTGCCGGAGTTTCGCCGGAGCACGCCAAAGTTTCGCCGGAGCTCCGCCGGCAAAGACCGCCGTCATTAACGGCGGTAATGATTGGGCATTAGCGGCGGTTTTGTTACCACCGTTAAAGGCGGGCATTAGCGGCGGTTTTGTTACTGCCGTTAATAGAAGGTTTCATTACCGTCGTTAAAGACACTTTAGTAGCGGTTTTTTTAACGGCGGTAACGAAACCGTCGTTAATGATAAATTAACGGCGGTATTAACGGCAGTTTTCGTTACCGCCGTTAATAGTACCTTTAACGGCGATTTTCGTTACCGCCGTTAATACCCTGTTTTGGCGTAGTGAGATCAAATTAAAAGTCATAGAACCCAAAAAAGGGATCCCAAATATTTCTCCACTGTTGGTATTGATATCTATCTATCGTGATCCTCAGGGCAGCAGAGCCTGCCTTATCCCTTGCTTGGTCCCCATTGTTGATAAAGAAAGGCCTGTTTGATAAGTTGATTGTTTTAATTGATTTTTTAATTTTTTTAATTATTTTAATCTAGTAAAAAAATTGTGTTTAAGATAATCAGTATGTTTGGTTTGAGTTTTCTGAATTAAATTTTTTGAAAATTGACTTTTTTGATTTTCGTATTTTTTTGTTTTTAGTGAATATTTTTTAAATTTTAAACATTTTTTTTTTACTTTTTTAGATGCACATTACTTAGATGTATCTAAAAAGTAAAAAATTTGTGAAAAAATATTTAAAAAAATTAATAAATACATAAAAATACAAAAAATGTACTAAATTCTTGTATTTTTTTTGTATTTTTGGTATTCAGTGAATTTTTAAAAGATTTTTTTTTATAATTTTTTTACTTTTTAGGTGTATTTATGTTAGATGTGTCTAAAAAGTAAAAAAATTGCTTAAAATATTAAAAAATTCAGTAAAAACAAAAAAATGCGAAAAATAAAAAAAATAGAATTTTGTGAAAAGTATTTTTTGAAAAGTGAAAACAAGCAAGGTGATTCATTTTTTAAGATAAAAAGTGAAATAATTATAAATTAAATAATATTTTATTTTATTGATTATTTTAGTCTATTTTATCTTTATTAAGGCATTGTTTGGAAAATTGGCTATGACTTTTTGACTATTTTAACTTAGCGAAAAAAATTGTGTTTGATAAGTTGGTGTTTTTGTAATTGATTTGATGGTTATAAGAAAAAAAAGTTAAATGATTATGGGTTAGATATGACATTTTATTAGTTATTTTAGCTTATTTTATTTATGGGAGACTTACGTGTATGTCTTAACAGGTAGATTTATTATCCAATATGTTCTGTGAGAATTAATAGCGTTTTTTATCAAACACTATTAAAAAATATCAACAATTGTTAATTTTCAGCAATGGTTTAAAAATTTTGTCATAAAAAAGTCACTAATTATAAATTTTAATAAAAGTTTAAAGAAGCGTAAAAAAAAAGTCACTAAGTCTTAACATTCAGCAGAAATTTAAAAAATTCGTTATAAAAAAAGTCACTAATTTTATGTTTTAGTGATAATTTATAAAAATAATGATAAAAAAGTTATTAATTATCAATTTTTAACGACATGTGCAAAAAATTGTCAAAAAAAATTATTTTTGACAATAATTTTGTTACGATTTATTTTTAATACAATTTAATGAAAATTAAATTTAACTATTAACATATAATTTATCTTTTTATTTTTTAAAATAAATTATTTTAGTCAAACCCGCTCCCAAACACCAAGGATCCTTTAGAATTTTTTTTTCTTAAAGTGATATATTGTATGAATGAGATTTAATACTAAAAAATTAATATAAAATTAATATAATTTATCATTAAATCTCAACCATATAACACGACATTTTAAAAAACTTTAGAAAAAGAAGACTCAAGAAATCCTTGCTCTCTCACAAAAGAAGGCCTAACTGTTTCAGCCCAAATAACCCTTCCAAACAGAGCCGAAGGAAAGCGCTTTCTCTATCTTGCTCTCTCTTTCAGCTTCTGAGTTTTACAGACACCATCAATTGACTCAAACATGGCCACCATTTCGCTACCAACGACACCAAGAATGTCATCATCACTCTCCCAAAGACAACATCTTTGCCCTTCTTCATCATCATCATCATCATCATCATCATCGTCACAGTCATCCTTGCTTCTTCTTCGACCTCACACTCACACTTACACTTCTCTTCGCTGTTCCTCTTCCTCACTCTTCAATCCCTCTCTCCTCATCCCCACCAAATTCTCAAAACCCACCAAAATCCCCCAATTTTCGATCACCATTTCAATGTCCATGGAGGCTGGTATCGGTGTCATGGGTACTAAATTGGGTATGATGAGTTTCTTCGAACCCAATGGTACTGTTGTCCCCGTCACCGTTGTGGGTTTCAGAGAGGGCAACATTGTCACCCAGGTCAAGACTCAGGCCACCGACGGCTACGATTCCATTCAGGTCGGTTATCGGAGGGTTCGAGACCGAAAGCTCACCAAGCCCGAGATGGGTCACCTCCACAAGTCCGGGATCATCCCCTTGCGCCACTTGCAGGAGTTTCGGTTGCAATCGGTTGATGGGTTTGAGCCTAACCAAAGGCTGGTTTTTGAGGAGCTCTTCAAAGAAGGGGATTTAGTTGATGTTTCTGGAACCACCATTGGCAAGGGTTTCCAAGGTCTGCTTCTCTTCCTTTCTAAGTTATTATTATCTCTGTTTGTGTATTGGTTCACTTGAATGAGTTGGAATGGGGTGGGATTATTCCTTCCGCTCTCATATGGAATGATCATTCCTTGAAATGACGAGTGATGATTCTATTTGTAATGCATTTTGTTATTATTTTTTTAGTCAACCACAATATTGATGGAGTGATCATTCCATTCGATTTGTGAACCAAATATTACCTTAGGCTAATTCTATTTCCACATAGCAGATGCTCTGTGCACAGGCTAAGTGAATTTTTTTGTTTAGTACAATTTTATCCTAAAATAAAATTATCAAAATAACCTTATCTTCTTCATCAAAAATCTTAGTTCCTAACGAAGAAGAATGTCATTAATATATTGAGTAGAATGGGTACTAAAATTCTAGAGTTGTCAATGAATGTTGAGGTTAAAAGTAATTCCGAGGATATCTCTGAAGGGAAATTTCTTACTGAATATGTTGGGATATGCAAGCTTATAAGGCACACCAAAGAGATAAGCATTTTTACTTCATGACATTGAATGGCAGCGAGAGACGTAATAGATGCTTGTGCTAAAGAGAATTTGGGCTGTTTCATAAACCATAGTTGTGATCGTAATTTCTGTAGAGAGGACATAGATGGATTGGTAATGGTGGTTGGTGGCAGTAGAAGGATAAGAGCTGCGGCAGGGGTACAAGTTTTCGGCGGAGGGGGGTGGAGCCTGGCTGGTGATGAATGAAGAAGACAAGGATTAGGGGTTAGGGTTAGGGTTTGAATGATGAACAAGATGAGGGTATTTTTGGTAGGGTAAGATGTGTATTAAGCAAAACAGAAGATTTTAAATTTATTACGTGTGTGTGTGATGAGAAAAGATATGCTCCAAGAGGATTTGATGTGTGGAAATAGAATTACCCGTGTATTTAGGGTTAACTTCGCTTTTATCCCTAAGACTGTGTTTGGATATTTAGGCCTTGTTTGGGGAGTAACTATTTTAGTCAAAAAGTTACTTTACTATAAGTTGTCGCTTCACTTTGTCTACTTTTCTGCACATCTTTTCGTAAAAAATCAAAAAATTACTAAAATAGCTTGTTTTCAAATGAGGCCTTAGTCAAAAAATCAACTAAAGTAGTCAATTTCCAAACGGGGCCTTGGTAGAGAAAAGAAAAAGCAATGATTTGTGAAGTTCGGGGAGAAGTGAAAAGCAAAGAAATGATGTGATTTCTCTCCCTTGTTTGGTTAAGTTGAAAAAAAGAAAACAAATAATGGTGATTTTTCTCTAATCTTATTTGGATAGATTGCATAAAAGCAAAGTTACCATAATAACTTTTTACGTTTTTATTTCTTATGTAGGTAGATGGGCAATTTTAGTATTATACAAAATTAGTAACCTTTCCATTTCTTTTTTCTCCCAATCTCTCTAATTTTGGAGAAATTTGATTTGAAAAGTGAGTTATGAGAGAAATATTTCTCCTCAATTCATTTCTCTCCTATTTAGTAATCCAAGCAAGTGATTAAGATTAAGAGAGATTGATTTCTTTCCTTCTCTCTCCAAATCACTCAATCCAGACAAGAGGTGTAAACTCGTACATTTTTTTTTAAAAAAATTCATCCTAAAGTTTCTCATTTCAGTTCATGTAGAGACCATAATTTTATAATTTGGACTAGTTAAATCATAAAGCCAAACACTTAGGGCTTGTTTGGTTTGTATCTTAAGATACAATTTTTGAGAAAAATTTTCAAAATTTTGTTTGGTTCAAATTTTTTGAATTTTTTTCCAAAATCACTCTCTCTCCTACACATCAATCAATCAATCATTTTTTCTCTCGCTTTTTTCCTTCTCAATCACCTTTTCGCTCACAAACATCTACTCAACTACAGTAAAATATCAAATCATCCCAAACTCTCAAACCCTAAAACTTCAAAACTATTTTCAAAATATACAACCAAATAAACCCAAAAAATTCTAAACTCTCTTCCCAATTTTGTTTTTTCAAAATTTATCTCGAATCACAAACCAAACACACCCTTAATTTTTTACTTTATTTAACAAACTATACCGACCCACAACTAATTTAATGAGTGTTTTGTTGAAGTAGTTAAGCTGTTCTACTGCTGAAATTACTTTTTTAATCAACTTAGGCATCAATATAATCATCTCCAGTTGGATAAAATGAAATGAAATAAAATACAAAACTGTAGAGACTAAATAGATAAAATTAGTAGTTTAGGGATGAAATGGAAAAAAATGGTGATAATTTAGGGGATACAAGTGAAATTAGCCCCATGTAATTATATTTTTGTAAATAATTATGTGTTTCTATGTGAAATCAGTCCCTTTACAGAATTAACGGTAAACTAACTGAACTTTGGCATTGCCTGATTATGATATCAAATTGATATTCTGTTGCTCTGCTTTGATTGTGTTCAAGCTTTACCTTTTCACTATTGAGCTTAGATGTAATGCTGGTGATATGATGCACACTAAGAAGCACGGACACTTCTAGGAAGGTTACGTATCCGTGTCGGACACCGACACTCTTTGGACACTCTCAGGACACCTGTCCGACACTCTTCAAAACGTGTCCTATTGTTTAAAGACTTGGACACTCTTTGGACACTTGAAGGACACACGTGTCAATCGTTTAAACACACGTGTCTAACGATTAGACATACGTAAAACTAATTATAAGTTTGAACAAAATAACTTAAGATATAATAATAAAATAAAAGCCATATAAATTTATAAGAATTAGTGTCATATTGCATTTTTTATTATCTTTGAATGATATATTCATATATATATAACATATAATAAATATATAAAATTTTGTATTTCATGCGTGTCCTCCTCGTGTCGTGTCCTGCATTTTTTGAAAATTAACGTGTCGGCGTGTCCGTGTCGTACTCGTGTCGTGTCACGTGTCCGTGTCCATGCTTCTTAGGATGCACATATTAATATTTGTATATGCTCGCACACTGATCTGCTCCTGTGTAGTTTTGAACTTGTTATTCTGAGGCTGTTTTTCAGTTTATAGATGCATGTATAATGTATACATGTATGAATATATACCCTGCCCTTCCTTGCCTAGCTATTAGACGAATCTTGATTGACTGACACTGGAAACCGATTTGGAGAAAAAAGAAGCATGGCATGAGATAGGCAGTGGAAAAATTTCCGTTGGTAAATTACTTGACTTGATGGATGGAGGGAGAGCCGTCTAGCTCAAACACGAAATCAATGTTGAGTGAACAAATATTGGGAATTGAGTGATATTTGTGCCAAGGTAACTATACCATTTAACAGTTTCACTGCTGGTCCTACATCTAATATGCACTTGGAGGTAGCTAACTTGGTGCCTAAGTCCTCTGATGAGCCGTTGAAGGTAATGAATGTTGTTGAACATCAAAACTCTAAGCTATTAGAGTTATAAGTGGAGGAACAGAATGTTAAGGAGGGTGAAAAAGCTCTTATTAGCAGTTCAAGTGCACCCCAAGTAGATCTAATTATTACTCAAGAAGAGGATGTGGCCCAAATAGAAGACTTGGATGTCATACAAGCTGTAGCGACTAAAGAAAAAAACCAGCCTGCTGCTGGTCCAGAACTTATTATGCTTTTAGAGTTCATGATATTGCAATCCGAGGTCTCTGATGAAGTGCCCACAAAGTCACCTGGTGAATTTGCTTCAGTCATAATCTATGAAGTGGCCAAAAGTGAATCAAAAGATAATCTTGTGTTGGGAAAAGAGGTTAAAGAGAAGGTGTTGAGATTGTTGATGGGAATATCAAAGAAACTTTATAAAAGCTTATTTAGATCAATTCGAGGATGTGTCCTATGCCAATTGACTTTTTTATTCCATACAAATTTAATGGCACGATTGAAAAGATTAATCCCTCCATATTTTTGTTCTTATCTCCGACGAAGAAAATGTGGCGACAACTTGAAAATTTTAATATGAAGCCATGGATGCAATTTCAAAACATGTGGATTCTTATACTTTAACACTTAAAAACTTGAGGTCGAGTTTTTTTTGACCAAGGAAGAATGATAGGGAGTATAAGAAGCTCAAGGAAAAGTAAATTCAAAGAAACAACAGTATTTGAAAATTGGCATGATTTGAAAGAGAAACCGATAGGAACCATACATGATCATGTATCTAGTATTCTTGAAATCTTATTTTATGATTGTTTTTATATTTTCTAGAATTTTTAGGTCAGGAGTATTTTGGTAATTTTTATATTTGCTAACATGGGCTATAAGGGTTGCCCATGTGTTGTCTTGTGGGTTAAATTATTTAATTAATTTTTGTTTATGTTTCTTATTTGGGTTTAAATTAGTTTTGGAAGCCCAAAGTATTTTTAGTAGTTTCCCTTTTTGGTTCTAGTTGGAATAGGAAGTTTCTAGAGCCTATGTAAAGCCATGTAGTACTTCTAATTCAATAGAGCTGATATTTTAGAGAATTTGAAGAGCTTTGAAGCTTTCTTATAGATTGTGTGATGCAATCAAACCATAGGTATGATGCCTAAGGGATTCTAGGAGTGATTCCTAGATGCATCATCTTTTCTTTTCTTTTCTTTCTTTCTTGAATTTCTGCAGCTTCATAATAGTCCCATAACAGCCCCAAAATTGATATGTTTGATTGGTAAAACGCTATCCTTTTAGTGCACCTTTTGAAACCCTAAATTGCCGTGTTATCCTACATCAAGATGCCTTCCGGATGATGCATCAGCTACTTAATAGGTTAATTTTTGCACTGTAGTTGGCATGGCCAATACAACTGAAGCTTAGTTTGGTTTGGTTTGCTAGTTTTGAACTCTGGCAAGCCTAAAATTATTTCAGACCACTTTTTAATTACTTAATTACTGGGATGAAGAGCAAACGGGAAGCATAACATATATACATCACAGAAGGGGAATTCGAATTGTATTTCAAACAAGCTTTACAAACAGAAGATTGTATGTAAGACCTTTATGGTCTCATCAGTACCCAAACTCTG